AAAAAAATAAATAAGAGGCTGGGGAGATGGCTCAGTGGAATAAGCACCTCCCTAGCAAATGCAAGGGTCTGAGTTCAATCCCCGGTTCCACAAAAAAAAATAATAATAATTATAGCAGCTATTAACCTATTTCAGACTCTAATATAATTCTTTCAACATGTGAAATATTGTATTGTCTAGGTGGTCCTTATTATACTTAATAGGGTATTGTCTCTAATAAACATTCTCTTTGCCTTGGACTAATTCTAAACAATCCCACAGTAAAACCTTTTTGGAAGTTTGAACATTTCTTTGTCTTTTGTATTGTTAGCCCCTTGGGTTAAAGTTTCAGGAGGAAGATTACTGGGTATATAAGTGCTTTTGTGGGGCGAGGGAGATAGCTCTATGGTCTAAGCACCTGCCTGGCAAGTACAAGGACCTGAGTTCGATCCCCTGTACCACATGCCGTGCCCGCCCTGGAACTGGACATGGTGCGCACACCTGTAATCCCAGAAATGGAGAGACTGAGACAGGAGGATCATTATGAGTCTGAACTGTGTCATGAGACCCTCTAACAAATACATAAAAAATAAATTAAAAATGTACATATATACATTTTACACATACATATCCTTCCAAGTGGCTTTTGTAAAAAGGTTATATTTTACTGGATTTCAAACATTGATTTTAAAACTCTGGCATATTGGCAGTGTGATCCCAGATGTGGTCAGCCTTTTCTCCTGTGGACAGCTTCTCTCATGGTTAGATGTCTGTGAGTGATACTGGTTCCTAAAATGTGTCCCTTTTCATCCTCCCTCATTGCAGACCATCAGCAGAGCCTTTATGAATGGCAGCTCTGTGGAGCATGTGATCGAGTTTGGCCTCGACTACCCTGAAGGCATGGCTGTGGACTGGATGGGCAAGAACCTCTACTGGGCTGACACTGGGACCAACAGGATAGAGGTGGCCCGGCTGGACGGGCAGTTCCGGCAGGTCCTTGTGTGGAGGGACTTGGACAACCCAAGATCACTGGCCCTGGATCCCACCAAAGGGTAGGGCCTTTTTGTCTACACTATGCATCCCTGACCCCCCCTCCTCTCTGAATCAGCCAGAGCCGTGGTGCCCTGACACTGTGATTGGAGTTTCACTGCTAGCCTTGAAAGTGGCCCGTGGGGATCATTTAGTTCATTCTCACATGGGAAACTCAGAGCAGAGTAGAAGGAAGGCATGGGAGCCGCTGTTGGCCATTGTGATGGCTGCTTTTACCTGGGCTGTCTCGAAGTATTCAGAGAGCTGCCTAGGGTGCTATCCGTATCTCCAGTTTTATAGACGCAGAAACTGAGGCTCTAAGAACTTAGCTCAGGGTCTCACCCGAGATCGTGTGGCCATTTAGAGCAGTGTTGGGCCCAGGAGTGCCTCCTCGGGCCCTACCAGGATGCCTTTGTGGCCCCCTGGCTAGATGGATCTGAAAGCCAGTCTAGGGGTGAGGGCTGAACAGAAAGGGCACCTTGCAGGTTGCTGGGCCACAGCTGAGAGCCATCGTGAGAGGCAGCCGGGGCCCCTAGCCTGTGGTCTCTCTGGTGGAGCACAGTGGCCTTTGCTGCGCAGTGGGCACAGCGTCTACCTGGAGAGTATCTGCGTGAGGCAGCAGCCCTTCCTGCCCTGTGCTGGCTCTTTGAGGGCTGAAAGATTTCACGTGGCAGCATAAGGATAAGGAGAGCTGGATTTTGGTGAAAGGACAGTGGAGCTTTCAGAATTCTGGAATGAGGGTGTGAGTTTCCTTTTCAGGATATGTCAGAGTAGGGCAGGCACCATTGGTAGAGTGGCACAGAGCACCCTGGCCCTGCCTTGCTCTCTTGGCTACTTTTCTCTCATTGCTGAGATAAAGTCCCCAGTGCCCCGAATTAAGGAAGGAAAGATTTCTTTATCTCACAGTTTGTGTGGAGGTTTCAGTCCATACTCCGCTGGCTCCAGGCAGGTTGCCAGGGCACATGACAACAGGTCCAGGCCGCAGGGGACAGCAAAAGCAACAAGAGTGAAAGAGGGGGCAGCAAGCCTTTTTTCTTCTCTTACGTTGAAAGCAGCCTGTGCCCCACTGGGGTGGGTGTCTGTCACCATCTCTGTGCCCTCCTCGTGCTCAGCATGAGGATGTTTACAAAGTAAGCGCCTTGGCTCCTTGCTGAGTCCCTTGGTTAAATCTATAAGCTGCTCAAGTTGGCACAGCATAGCACCCATGACACTCACCGTCTGGTTTTTGCACTCTGAGTAAGAGGACCGTCCATCCTGCTTTGTCTGTGTCACATGCTATCTTGGTCAGTTTATGTTGCATTTGACCTAACAAAGTACCCTTGCTTGAAGGCCAAGGGTGGTGGCACACACCTGGAGTCCCAGCACTAGCGGAGGCTGAGGCAGGAGAGTGGGGCAGGTTTGAGCCTGGTCTAGGCAATTTAGGGACTTAACTCTCAAAATGAAAGAGAGTGCAGTGTCCAGCAGGTCTGCGGATGCTGGCCTTGAAACTAGATTCATTCAATTCCCCATCATTTGACCTTGTAACCAATAAAGGCTGATGGCGCTCGAATAAATGCATGAATGAATGACCTGAGGATGTAGCAGAGTGTGAAGGTCCCAGAGTCAGCCCCCAAAACTCTCCTAACTCTGTGCACCTTTTTGTGGCTGTAGATGGGTGCTTACCGACCTGACAGGTGAGCTGTGGGGGAATTCAGGGAGGGCACACTGTGTCAGGAGCTCTGACAGAATCTTACTCTATATGTCCTGCTTCCTTGAAGGACTGATGTGGGTTCCTCCAGGAAGGACAGGGCTGAGCTGAGAAAATAGTGGCGGTCGTGTCCTCCCTACTGCCACATGCCCTGTGTTGAGCCTGGACTCACTGAGGCTGCTTTTCTCCTCTCCCTGGTGCCTTCCAGCTACATCTACTGGACGGAGTGGGGTGGCAAGCCAAGAATCGTGCAGGCCTTCATGGACGGGACCAACTGCATGACCCTGGTGGACAAGGTGGGCCGGGCCAACGACCTCACCATTGACTATGCTGACCAGCGCCTGTACTGGACTGACCTGGACACCAACATGATTGAGTCATCCAACATGCTGGGTGAGGGCTAGTGGTGGCAGGTTTCCTTTCAGCCCACCTCAGTGCCTTAGAGGTGTGGATTCGGCTGTGAGTGCTGGTTGGCTTCCCCTGTCTGGGGGCTTGACCCAGGGTAGCCGCTGGCGCCTTACTGTCACTGTGCGGGATCCCTGGTGACAGCTGTTTCTGAATGCTAGCTCTGCCAAACCCTGTGGGAGGGCTCTGATTTGATCCTTCCCTGTTTGGCAGAGGTTTTCAGTGATGGGGAAGCTGAGGCACAGGGAGATCACGTAACTTTCCTCCGGCACCCGGCATCCTACTTTTTGCCTTTTGGGTCTGGCTATTATATAGGGCCCCTGCTGGCTAATCCAGTATAATCTCTCCATCTCACACTTTCTAGTCACATCTGCAAAGTTCAGTGATTTATTTGTAGCCTCTGGAGCTGAGGATGTGGATTTCGTGGCATAGGGGGCTGTGTCTCAGTCAGGGTGTGCTAGAAATAGACACCGAATGTTCAAATAAAAGAATCATTACAGTGAGAGACACACTGCTATCAAGCCCCTGCCCCAGTGCTCCCTCTTGCTTCAGACATATGTATTTCATCACTCTGGCCGCTTTCTTTCTTTCTTTTTTTAAAATTTTATTTGTGTGTGTGTGTGTGTGTGTGTGTGTGTGTGTGTGTGGCCAGCTCAGCCCACCAGGGGGCGGGGCTGGCTGGCATGTGGTGCTGGGGGATTGAACCGTGAGTCCTGTGCTTTGCTAAGCTTGTTCCAAGTAGGTGCTTTAGACCACTGAGCCATCTCACCAGCCCCTCCCTTTTTTTTTTTTTTTTTAATTTGTCAACATCAACAAACATTTTACACTTTATTTTGATCAGGATTGCTTTTTTTTTTTTTAATGAGCAGGATATATTTATTGAGGGAAAGAAAGCTCCTGTCCAAGAGAGGGACAGACAGGAGGGGGGCCCAAGCGGGTAGTTCCCCCCCTCTGGCCGCTTTCTGAGGCAGTTTCTGGAAGTCCTCTTTTGTGCCTTTACATGATGTCATAATGTGATCAGCACTGTGGCGAGTGCTGCTGCCAGGGCTTTCCCACAGAAGACAGGCTCGTAACACCATCCAGCATGTCCACACGCACTTACTCGCTGCATCTTCCCCAAAGTCAAAATGACTGTGAAAGGCAAATGCTTTGAATTGGTTCAGGATGTTGAGGCAGCTACAAGGTTGCAACCAAAGATGCTTGGGAAGGAGGCCTTGCAGAGGGACTTGAGAAAGGAGCAAGAGCAGTACGGTGTGTGTTGGAAGTGAGGGCAAGCACTTTGGGGAAGGAGAAAGGTGATATATCTTTTGCTCTCATACATTTAAAAAAATAATTTGGGCTGGCAAGATAACTCAGTGGGCTAAAGCACCTGCTTAGGCAAGCACAGGGACCACATATCATGCCAGCCCCGCCCCCAGAGTGGGTTGAGCTGGCCACAGGGTCCAGGCATAGTGACGTGTAATCCCAGCCCTGGGGATGCTGAAAGCAAGAGGATCATCACGAGTCCAAGCTGCATAGTGAGACACTGTAACAACATTAACTAATAATACCATATATATATTTTTTATCACATCACATAGTTTGCATGTATATCAGCAATATGGACCCCTCCCCCCAACCAAGGATTGAACTCAGGTCCTTGTGCTTGCCAGGCAAGCGCTTATTCTACTGAGCCATCTCCCTGCCCCAATGTAGACTCTTTGCCTGTGTGACACTGAATATGTGCCACAGTGGTAGCACGAGTTTCGTCGACTGTCTCACAGTTTATTGTCGGTAATATCACAGATACATGTGAGGGGACTCTTTTTTTTTTTTTTTTTTTTTGGTGGTATCAGGGATCAAACTCAGGACCTTGCGCTTGCCAGGCCAGCACTTACTCCACTGAGCTATCTCCCCAGCCTGTGAGGGGACTCTTCAGAGCACTCATTATGAAGCTGAGGATGTAGCTCAGAGTGCTTGCCTTGCTTGTGAGGCCCTGGGTTTCATCTAAACGGGAAAAAGTCCAGGTAGGGAGACTGAGGGCCAAGGAGTTGACTTGGCCTTCTCAGGTCACATGCTCGTTGGCAGAGGAGTGGGAGCCTCAGGCTAAGTGACTGCTGAGGGTTTTTTTTATTATTATTAAAAATAAAATGGGCTTTGCTGGGTGTGGTGGTGCACACCGAGGATCCCAGCCCTTGGGAAGCTGAAGCAGCAGGATCGCTGTGAACTTGAGGCTAGCCTGGGATACATACGCAAGTTCAAGGCCAGTCTGCACTATATAATGAGAACCTGCCTCCAAAAAAAGGTGAATTTTAACATTTTTAGTAAAAAGCTGGGTGTGGTGACACATGCGTGTAGTCCCAGAACTTGGCAGGTTGAGGCAGGAGGATCGCCATGAGTTCCAGCCTTGGCTACATAGAGTTCAAGTCTAGCCTGAACTACAGACCCTGCCTCAAAAAAATAAAATTTTTAATAAAGTATAATTGTGTGTGTGTGTGTGTGTGTGTGTGTGTGTGTGTGTGTAAAGCAGCAGTCCCTATCCTCTTTAGCACCAGGAGCCCGTTTTGTGGAAGACAGATTTTCCGTGGATGGGGGAGATGGTCTGAGCATCAGATTCTGCTCAGGTACATGTAGCACAGACTCCAAGCTTGCGCAGAATGCCTCTGCTGTCTAACTGGAAGCAGAACTCGGGCTGGCAGTACCAAGATGGGGAGTGCCTGTAAATAATGATAAAGCTTCCTCTACTCCCCCACCACCTCCTGCTGCGCGGCCAGCTCCTAACGGCCATAGACTGACTGGTACTAGTCCACCCCCTGTGGTAAAGCATAAAAATCTAAAATGGACAAGTTGGTGATGTTTAGGTATAGATACTTATACAGGTTTACCAACATAATCTATACAGCTCCCATCAAGAGTGAGCCAGGGAAGTGTCTGAGCCCCCTAAGTCTTCCTTGGGCTCCTTCCCGTCCCTCCCACAAACCCTCTGGGGATATTTTGCTGCCCTGACCTCTTTGGGTATTATGTCTGTTGTCCTAGGACTTAGTGCAGTCTCTGTTCGTTCTTGGCCTGATGGCTGCACAGGGCGGCTACTCTCTTCATTGCTATGGTCTTTCTGTCCTGTCGTGAAGCCTCTGGGCACGGAGGCTCAGGCTGCCTTCAACTGTGGCTGCCTCAAGCCATCTCGTGCGTGTAGCCTGGTGGATGTTACATGAGTTTTTCTTGAAATGCAACCCAGAGTGGGATTGTGGGCTGGGTGGACACCTAGCAGTGCTTAATTGATTGATTTCCGGAGGCAGGGCAGCTCTAAGACTTGGACACAGTGGCAGGCTCTGGGCCACTTCACATGCTGTGCCTGGGATGAGCCACCATGTCCCTGTGTCCACTTGCAGGCCAGGAACGCGTAGTGATCGCTGACGACCTGCCACACCCCTTCGGCCTCACGCAGTACAGTGATTACATCTACTGGACAGACTGGAACCTGCACAGCATTGAGCGGGCCGACAAGACCAGTGGCCGGAACCGCACCCTTGTCCAGGGACACCTGGACTTTGTGATGGACATCCTCGTGTTCCACTCCTCCCGCCAGGATGGCCTCAATGACTGCGTGCACAACAACGGCCAGTGCGGGCAGCTGTGCCTGGCCATCCCTGGTGGCCACCGCTGTGGCTGTGCCTCACACTATACCTTGGACCCCAGCAGTCGTAACTGCAGCCGTAAGTGCCTCAACTTCCCCTATGTACCTTAGCCCTGTGTTGTATCTGGTGACTCCTGGAAGGTTGAAGGAAGGAAGGTTCTCATCTTGAACACATGGATATATATGGAGGTTCTGTACTGTCCAAGCTTCATAATGCTAAGCAAAGGACCCATGGCTTCATAAAGACACAAATTAAGCTGGGCATGGTGGCGCATACCTGTAATCCCAGCACTTGGGAGGCTGAGGCAGGAGAATCATTGCAAGTTCGATGCCAGCCTGGGCTACAAAATAAGCTTAAAGCCAGACTGAACTGCATAGAGACCCTTTCTCAAAAAGACAAAAACAAAAAAGGTACAGATTAGGGCTGGGGAGATGGCTCAGTAGAATAAGCGCTTCCCTGGCAAGCACAAGGGCCTGAGTTCAATCCCTGGTTTTGCAAAAAAAAAAAAAAGGTACAGATTAATGGACAGATCAGTGGACACAGGGCCTCAGCTAGAAGATTCCATGAAAGGATTTGAAAACCAGTAACTGCATGGGAGTGCGTGCTTGTCTTGGCATGGCACTTTCCGTGGCACTGTTTTGCCCCGCTAGCCTATAGGGCAGGGCAAAGCCCAGTCCCCACTTCATAGGAACCTGAAGGGTAGGGCTGTGGATTCACCTGTCCAAGGCCACATAGATAGGGTTGGAGCCAGGCTCACTCTTGTTGGCAGGTCTTCTATGACAGCAGCAGAGAGCCAACTTTAATTGAGCCCTTTACAGCACTTGATGGTACACAGAGCTCCACAGTGCCCAGGCTCTTGTCTGAGCTTCGGGCAGACCTGGACAGAGGCAAGGCTGGTCTCTTCAGTCCAGAGGCTTTGGAAGTGGAGAAAACTTTTGCAAGGCCCCAGTAGGTGTGCGGTGAGTCTGTCCTCTGTCCCTTGTCAGGCTTGAGCTCCCTTGAGCCTGTTCTATACCTACTGTTGGGCTGTGACAGTCTACGAGGTGCAGGAGGGGTGCTGAGTCTCCATTCCTGTGGGTGGCAGACTTGGGTTGGTGACTTAGACTTAAACCACCCACTGTGGCCGCTGACTGTAGCTGTAGCTGGTGGCCCCTCGTGGCTGGGCTCTGACTCCCACCACCGAGACCTTATTTTCTGGTTGTCGGTAGTAAGCTCTTCTGGCTCTCGCACCAGGAACATTGCAGGCCCTCCCAGCCCAGTTTGGTTGAAAACCGCTGAACACAGGCACCAGGCCTAGCCTGATTCTTGCTTTTCCGTCTTGTTGTCTGCCACTGAGCCATACCCTCAGCTTAATAACTCAAAAATAAGTATATATGTAGTTTAAATCTAACAGATGTTCTTAAGAGCGCAGCAGAGACATGCAAAAGGTAGCAAAATTCCAACCTCCGCCCCGAGAAGCAGCTGCGCATCTGTCTTCTCCATGGATGTGTGGTGGGTGTACATGCTGGCCCCTTCTATGAGGTGGGCTGCCGGGCCCCTGGTCTCTTCCCCACAACTTCCAGATGCTGACGCACAGCCTTCCCGTCTGTTTGCCCCACTCCAGCACCCTCCACCTTCTTGCTGTTCAGCCAGAAAGGTGCAATCAGCCAAATGATCCCTGATGACCAGCACAGCCCAGACCTCATCCTGCCCTTGCATGGGCTGAGGAATGTCAAGGCCATCGACTACGACCCGCTGGACAAGTTCATCTACTGGGTGGATGGGCGTCAGAACATCAAGCGAGCCAAGGATGATGGTTCCCAGGCAGGTGCACTCACCAGATGGGTGGGTGACATTTCTGGGTGGAGCCTGCCTGGTGACTCCAGGCTGCCACTTCCTTTGCCGGGGCTGAAGCACCCAGAGAGTGAGGTTCGGGGGCCAGGGTTCTGCTTATGTAATTGCAGAGCGTGAGTCTGGGCTGGTGAACCTTGGACTATGATTAAGTTTAAAAACTGGATTTCCCCATGCTTTGGGGTAGTTAGGCAGGGTGTCAAGTGCCCCAGGATGGTTTTCTTTTCCAAGGTGGTTTTGTATCGGGCAGGGGTAGCCAGTAGTGAGTACTGCAGATGTCTCCTTTGTTTCAGAGGAAATGTATAATCAGTTCTGCTGCAGTGCAGTGAGTGCATGAGCCCTTTGCCACCACGTTGCAGAAATCATGCCGCAGAAGCAGCAGGGTCTAGGGGAAAGAGGGAGTGGGGCTTGACGCAAAAACTCGAGCCTTAAAAAAAAGCACAAAAGTTGAGTACACTAATAAATATATTTTGGGACCCAGGAGATAGCTCAGTGGCATAATTGCCCGCCTGAGGAGCACAAGGTCCTGTGTTTGGTTTCCCACCCATCCCCCCACAATAACCCTCCAGCCGTGACCCAGGAGAAGGAGACTGGGGAGGAGCTCCTTTGGCACCCGCAGTGATGCACACATGGAAACGGCACAGTAAGCCTGGCGGGTAGAGACCTGCAATCGGCGGCTTCTACGTGTGGGTGTTGGAGGGGTGCAGCTTATGAGCGTCTTGTGAAATGGTGGGCGGAGGATTGCGTGGAATGGGCTGGGAAGTTCCTACCCCAGGTGTGGATGGGCGTGGTTCACAGCACAGGACTGCAGCTGTGCCTGTTGATGGCTTCTTGCCAGATGCGGGTTTCTGCATTTATTTGTGTTTCTCGTGAGTGAAACCATGCATAAGCAGATGGAAACTCTGTGCTGCGCTCAGATCGTCTCCTGATATAATACTGCCGTGGGACAAATTGGTGTGTTCAAGCCGCTGGCAGAACTGGCCGCTCCATAGGGGCAAGTGACCTGTCCCAGGAAGGATTTGCACACAGCTGTAGACATCCCTAGCACCTGGTGCCCATTTCCAGTGACTCCTTCTACAAAATCTACAGAACCAAATGGTCCCTTTTTTGATGTAGCAATCAGTGTAGGGGCTCATGTCGCAGTGATGAAATCTTGGTGGCTTTATAACATCCCAAGAGGAAAGCTTGGGCATAGGGATTTACCCGCTATTGCCAGTGTCATTGATTTCTCCTCTTGTGCCCTGAGCTGGAAGCCAGCCCCGCCCACACAGGCTGGGTCTCCCTTTTGACAAAACACTTCACCTGGCAAGTTCTAAACTCTGAGGAGGAGGCCCATGTCCTTTGGCTGGCCGGTAAGACCAGTGAGTCAAACCCCACACCCAGCCAGTACTTTCCTCCTGGGAAGCTGTGCTGACTGGCTCGGTAGAAATGATGGAAAGGGTCCCTTTCTTCTGGCCGGGTGCAGGTGACGGTCACTTGAGTGCCTTGGAGAATAGGAAGTGCTAATTGAAGGACTGTGACTTCCTTGCTGAGAAAGATCCTGGGCGAAAATTGCGTTAAAGTCCCGTTAAAGAGAAGTTCTTTGTGGTGTCCAGGCAGTGGTGGTTGGGTGACAGGCTTTGAAGAGGAAGTAGGGGGGATGGATGATTTCTGGGCCTACTTCATTTGGCAGTGCCCTTCCCTTCTATTGCCTCTTGCTGGCAGTGCCAGCCCCTCTAGGGCTCTGACTTTGATATTTTAATTGGAGTTCTCCTGCCCCTACACTAAGGATGATGTTAAACTGTTATCTACTTGATGAAGGTTTTGTTTTGCTTTCCATTAATTTCTACCTTTTTTTTTTTTTTTTTGTCTTTTTGAGACAGAGTCTCACTATGCAGTTTTCAGGCTGGCCTTGAACTGATCTTGTAGCCCAGGCTGATCTCAAATTCACATCGATCTTGGGATTACAGGCATGTGCCACCAGCCCATCTTTAATTTTTACTTTTTATTGTGGTAAATATGCATAACATAAATTTTATCATTTTTCTGGGTGTGGTGGTTCAGGTATGTAAGCCCAGCACTCAGGAGGCCGAGGCAGGAGGATTGCCATGAGTTCAAGGCCAGCCTGAGCTACATGGCAAGACCCTGTCTCAAGAAAACAAACCAACAAAAAACTGAATAAATTTTATCATTAAACCATGTTTAAGTGTACAATTTAGTAAACCATAGCTCTGTCCCCATTAAACTGGCTGCCTCCACTAGCCTACCATCCTACTTTCTGTCTCCATGTATCTGAGAACTCTAAGGACCTCACAGAAGTGGAGTCCTGCCGAGTTGTCTCCCTGTGACTGGCTTATTTCACTTACCTACAGTCCCTTAGGTCCATGCACTGTGGAGCAGTGCCAGAGCCTTGTGACTGTCCTAAGGCTGAGTAACATCTGGTCTGTGGATGGACCCCATTGTTCACCTATCTATCCATGGTCTCTGGGATATTTCTGTCTTATCTCTTTCGATCCTGCTGCTGTGCATGTTTCTTCTTGGTTTGTCTACACCCCTGAGGTAGAGGGAGAGTAGCTGCAGTATTGGCTAGAATTCTGGTAAGAAATTATGCAATAGCCTCGGTATTGTTTCTTATATTAAAATTGAAGCTGAGTAGAAAAATCAGCCAGCTGTGTGAGATTTGCTGCCTCCGTTTTGTCTGTCTAGGGAGGGTGAGGGCAGCATGTCACCCCTGCACCTTTTGCAGATGGTTGTTCGGATGACCAGGATCCTAAAGTCTGATTGTACCCTGGGGCCTGATTCTGGCCAAGACTAGCTGGGACCGTGTTGCTCTTCTGGCCATTGGCTGTAGTGAGCTGACGTCCCTAGCTGGAGTGCTCCATGGCTTTGGGGAAGTAGTGTGCTGCAGTTGGTGTGGGCTTCCCCGTGCTGGCCGGCCGCTTGATGGGATACAGGAGTCAACCTGCCAAGGCCCATAATCCTTTAAAGTGGCACTTCAGGTTCAGATGAAGCAAGTTACATGTAGCTGCTCAGCAAGGCTGGGTCACAGTTGGGGCGTGTTTGCCTATGGGGGTGGGGTCCTTTCCAAGTGGGTCCAGGAGGCTGGGGAGAGAGGCTCCTTTTTTTTTGGTACCTGGAGATCAAACTTAGGCCCTTGCACTTGCCAGCTTAAACTGCTGAGCTATCTCCCTGGTCCCAGAGGCTTCTTTTTGACTGCAAGGCCCTCTTGCTACTTGGAGGCTTCCTTTTTGTTACCTGCTGGAAGCGGTAGACAAAAAAAGTCTGAACTGGGGGCCAGGAAGATGGCTCAGTGGAATAAGTGCTTTCCTGGCAAGCACAAGGGCCTGAGTTCAATCCCCAGTTCAGCGGGAAAAAAAAGTATTTCAGATTTCATTTGGAGAGATGGCTCAATAGAATAAGCACTTCCCTGGCAAGTGCAAGGGCCTGAGTTCAATCCCTGGTTCCACCAAAAAAAAAGGTCTGAAATGTTCCCTGTGCTTGGAGTGTTAGCCTTGGACCCATGCCTAAGTCTCAGAGGGCACAGGGGACCAATATGCTTCCCAGGGAAAAGAGATTTTATCTGTACCATCAGCTGGAGTGTGCTCCAGGCCCCCTTTGTTCCAGGGCACTGAGATCCCAAATACCAGTGGCTTCTAAGTAACCTTAAGAAGACCGGATGTCCCAAGTTTCTGGTCTGGGGCAGGTAAGAGTGCTTTGGGCTCTCTCTTCCTCCTCCAAGAGGTTCTCAGGACCCCTTTTGAGGGCTTCTCAGTCCAGGCCTCTAGGAAGCAAGGCTGGCCCCTGAGTTGCACTGGTGGCACAGGCTCAGGCCACATGCTTGGGAGATTCCAGGTGCACCCTGGGAATTGTGGAGCAGGAGAAGGGGCATCAGGAATTGCTTCCTTGCAGGGGGAGCTGGGGGTCATTTCACACCTGTCCCTACTTCTCCCTGCTTCACATACCTCACTTGCCCTGTTACCTGCTCTGTGTGCCCACCTGGCCCTGCACCCTGGGCCTCCTTCCCGCAGAGAAGAGGATCATGAGCATTGGATGTCTGGTCTCCATACCTACTGTCCTGGCTCTCTCAGAAGAAATTTGAGATTTGAAGGTTTTAAGCCAAAAGCCACAAGCCCTAGAAAATAAGAAAGAAGAGCAAAGTACCTTGAGAGATGCCATGGTCCTGTGCTGCTTCTGCTGTGTCTTACTTTACTCCCATTGCTGGGACAAAATACTCACCCAAAATGAAGGAAATTTAGCTCACAGTTTGTGGAGGTTTCAGTCCATACTCAGCTGGCTCCAAGGCACAGCGGCACATGGCAGAGAGCAGCTGTTGATGGTGGTGGAAAACAGCACAACAGCAAGAGCAAAAGGGAGGAGTGACAGCAACAGAGAGCAAGTCAGCCTCCCTTAGGTTGCATTCAGGCTATCTGCTCCAGGCGGGGTGCAGCACTCACACCCATAATCCCAGCGCTGGATCATGAATTAAAACACAACCTCTAGAAGTCTGACTGCATGAGGCTTTGGGGGGACACCTAGACACAAACTGTAACATGCTAGCGGACAGCTACGATCTGGCAGTGGTCTGGGCCATTCACTCCTGGGGAATGGAGTAAGAGTCACACCAAGACCTGTGGAGACTGGCTTTCAGATCAGGCTCAGCTCTCCCCAGTATGGGTGTGGTTAAGGGTTGCTTTGAGAAGAAATGACCCCAAACCAGAGCTGGAATTTTGTCTTTCAGACTAAACTCAGGACCATGTCTTCCTTGGAGCTGTCTCCAGCCAGTCCTCAGAGTCTCACAGGGCTGAATGTTGGTCTTTTCCTGTCTCACAGGCCCTTGTTCTGACCTCTCCGGGTCAAAGTCCAGAGAGGCAGCCACACGACCTCAGCATCGACATCTATAGCCGGACATTGTTCTGGACATGTGAGGCCACCAACACCATCAATGTCCATCGGTTAGATGGGGACGCCATGGGAGTAGTGCTCCGGGGGGAGCGAGACAAGCCGCGAGCCATCACAGTCAATGCGGAGCGAGGGTAGGAGGCTGCCACTGTGGCTAGGTGGGCTCTGTGTGGGGTGAGGCTGCTACACGTGCTGACATAGAGCCCTTCTGGGGACATTGGCTTTCCGGAGCTTGGGAACACTTGGACAGGAGCGCCTGTGGGCTGATGTGCAAGACTGTTAGGCTTACTGGGGCACCCCCTGGAGGGGCTCATGCCCAGGATGACCAGAGCAAGCACCAGTCCTGGAGCAGGGACATCTGAGTTCAAGTCCAGACCCTGGCACTTACCACTTGGTGACCTCAGTTGGCTAAGACAGCCCCTCAGAGCATGAGTTTCTTTATCTATAAAAGTGTGGCAGGAAGTAGTGCCAGGCCCAGCAGACCCAGAACTCGTTAGAGCTGAAGCAAAGTGAGCCAGCCTGGGGAGGCAGAGACCCCTTAGCAGTTGTTTCAGGCATGGATTAGTGTCCTGTGGCTTCCGCAGGAAAGCAGAAGGTTCCAGGGAGGAGACAACAGGCGTTTATTCTCTTGTAGTTCCAAAGGCCCAAAGCAGGGCCCACTCTCTCTGAAGCATCGGGGGCAATCTTCCTTCCAGTTTTGGTAGGTCCAGGCATTCTTTGATTTGTGTCACTTCACGTTAGTCTCTGCGTCAGGCTGCGCATCGTCTTCTGCATATCTGTGGCCTTCTTTGTCTTTTTCAGGATGCTCATTGGATTTAGGTCCACCCTGACCAAGTATGGTCTTATCTTGATTCTTGGTTACATTTTCAACGATGCCATTTACAAATTAGGTCACATTCTGAGGCTCTGGAATGGACATTAGTTTTAGGGGACACTGTTCCCTCAATATAGGGCTGACTTCACATCTAGAGCCAGACATTGTTTTGGACATGTGAGGCCATCAGCGTCCATTGGCTAGAGGGGGATGCCATGGGTGTGGTGCTCTAAGGGGACCGAGACAGGCCAAGAGCCATCTCTGAAGCCAGGCCTGTGTTTGCCCAGATGCCTGCAGGATCAGGAACTGGTTTGGCACTTGTGCACACTTGGGTGCTGGTTGAAGACATGAGGCAGGTGGGAGCAAGAGCTCCCAGTGCCTGCCTGGCACCTGCTGCCCTCTGCCTGTTGTCTCCCATAGGTATCTGTACTTCACCAACATGCAGGACCGTGCAGCTAAGATAGAGCGTGCAGCCCTTGATGGCACGGAGCGCGAGGTCCTCTTCACCACGGGCCTTATCCGCCCCGTGGCCCTTGTGGTGGACAACACTCTGGGCAAGCTCTTCTGGGTGGACGCAGACCTGAAGCGCATTGAGAGCTGCGACCTGTCAGGTGTGTGCTCTGAGGCTTTCCTGGTCATCAGATTCCTCAAGGATGACGAACTTGTGAATATCCATCTGCTTTATTACTCAGAGTGAAAGTAGGTACCGTCTTGTCCAGGACCCTTACATACCGTGCATAATCCTAACCCTGTGAGTTCTGGAATATGGGTCCCAAATGAGCCCCAGAGCTAGTGCAGAGTTGATGCTTGGAGGGGGCTGAGGTCCAAACAGTGTTTCTTCTAAGAAGAAGTGTGGCTGGGGGAGAGGAGACGCCATGCTTGCAGGAGCCAGTGACTGGGATCTGCTTTGGAGTCCTAAGGCCTGACACCAAGGCCAGCCCTGAGGGCGCCTCCTGTCTGCCCAGCTTCTATACCTGGTCAGAGCGTGGACCCCATCTCCCTCAGGCTCCCTGTGGCTCCTGGTGGGCCCAGCTTCTCGGGCTACTGCCACTCAGGGCCCCTCATCCTGCTTGCAGGGGCCAATCGCCTGACCCTGCAGGACGCAAGCATTGTGCAGCCTGTGGGCCTGACAGTGCTCGGCCGGCATCTCTACTGGGTAGACCGCCAGCAGCAGATGATTGAGCGTGTGGAGAAGACCACTGGGGACAAGCGGACTCGCATCCAAGGCCGTGTTGCCCACCTCACAGGCGTCCACGCCGTGGAGGAAGTCAACCTGGAGGAGTTCTGTAAGTCAGGGTGGGCAGCAAGGTGGACAGGTCCCCCGGGAGGGTGGCGTCTGCTCAGAGCACAGTGACCTCTGAAGGGCCTTTTGGTAACAGAGCCTGCGTGACCCTGAGGAGCTATGGGCTGAAGTGCCCACTGAATGTTGTCCCTGGAGCTCATCACTGAAGGCCGGCAGCTATCACATGTCCCAGCCTCTCTGGTCATGTTTGTCTGCTGTTAAAAAAAAAAAAAAAAAAAAAAAATGACCACACACTTAGTATGTCAAATAAACTCAGTCAGTATCTCAGTTCCATTGGTCACAAGTCTGGGCCCAGCATGGCTCCATGGGCTTCTCTGCCTGGGGTCTCATGGGGATAAAATCAAAGTGTCAGCTAGGCTGGATTTGTAGTGGAGGCTCTAAAGAAGAATCCATTTCTACAGGCCCAGGCTGTTGATGCTCACAGGACTGGCCCTATTTCTTTCTTCCTGTTTTCTGGGTCTACTCTCCACTCCTAGATGTCACCTCTCTGCCCTTGTCCTCTGGTCCCTTATGTTAGTTTTCTGTCACTGTAACAAATACCTGAGATAAAGCATAAAAAGAGGTTTCATTTCAATTTGTGGTTTGAGAGGCGTGGCCCTGTTGCTTTGGGTTCTGTGGTGAACCCCACATTGTAGAAGGAGCACAAATAACAAAGTAAGACTGCCTGGATTAAGAGAGGAAGAGGAGAAGGTTGGGGTTCTGCTATCTCTTTCATGAGTGCACCTCTAATAACCTCAAGACCTCCTCCCAGCCCCACCACTCTCTAGTGCCATGGACACATGAGCCCCTGGGGACCACTTAGCAAACCACAGTACCTCTGCCCTTTCCCCACCATCAGCAAGGGAGATGTCCTCATCAGTCCCTGCCATGTATTGAATCTTTCACTCCCTCCTCTGTCCACTGAGAAGCTGCTTTGCTTACGGAGGGCTGTATGATCAGATTTGCTCAAACTTAGATTAGTCTCCCCTTTATTTATTTATTTTTTATTTTTTTTTAAATATTTATTTATTTTTATTTATTACATTTATTTATTGTGTGTGTGTGTGTGGCCAGCTCAGCCCACCAGGGGGCGGGTCTGGCTGGCATGTGGTACTGGGGATCGAACCGCGGTCCCTGTGCTTTGCCAAGCTTGTTTCAAGTAGGTGCTTTAGACCACTGAGCCATCTCTCCAGCCCCAAAACCTTTATTTTATTTATTTATTTTTATTTTTATTTTTTTGCGAAACCGAGGATTGAACTCAGGCCCTTGCGCTTGCCAGGGAAGCACTTATTCCACTGAGCCATCTCCCCGGCAGTCTCCCCTTTAAAGAACTCAGTCAACTGATTAGTAACCTTAATCACACCCATAGGATCCCTTTTGCCATATAAGGCCACGAGACCATGGTACTGATACCACATCACATCTATAGTCCTGGGGCTTAGGGTGGGAAATCTGGGGACATTTCAGGATCCTGCCTTCTATTGCCTTCCTTTTTTTTTTTTTTTGTGGAACTGGAGATTGAGCTCAGGTACTTGGACTTGGCAGGCAAGCACTTACCCTATTGAGCCATCTCCCCGGCCCCTATTACCTCACTTTGACCACAGACTTGGGAAAGAGAGGGATCCCAGCTGTGGCTTCTTGATTCTCCCTTCTACTAACATAGCTCCGTGTATATGTAGGGCTCTATGCTGCTACCTGTCTCTATCTTCTTACCTTATCACCAGTGATACGGTCTCCCACCTGGCTGCTTGGCACTAGGGGGACAGCAGTGAATCGTGCAGTGTCCATAGCTTGGCCACATGGTGGACATAACCCATCACCAGTGACAGGAACTATGCATGCCATCCTTCACATCTGCTATGTTCTCTCTGTGTCTTTCCCTCCTCTGATCAGATGGCTTGTGGCTCTAAAGTCCAGCAGAGACCCATTCACTGCTTTTCCCCTGGTTCCAGTGCTGTCTGCCATCACAGCAGCCTCCCTCCTGCCTCGCCACTCCCTGTGTTGTCCCTTCAGTACTAATGTCCGTGTAGCTGGTAGAATGGTCTCGTCCCAGGTAGAATGCTATCCTAGGGGTGCAGCTACTGCTGTCTCTACCCTGATTTCCTGCAACTCATTGCATGCCCAGGATCATGGTCACCCCATCACACTACCCAGCCCCTGACCTCAGCCCCTAGGCACTGTGCTGCTACTCTCGAGAGTCCCTTTCATTTTCTTTCCCTCTCCTCCACCAGAGCACCTCTTGCTAATTCTTTTCCTCATAGGTTCAGGTGTCACCTAGCTCCCCCTTCTCCCATGCCATGTGTATACCCATGGATATGGGAAGCATGTCAGCGTACTGACCCCTTAGACCATATTCAGCGAAGTCATAGATTGCTGTGTGCCTTCGACCTTCAGAATGAGTGGATGTGTTCAGAATAGTGAATACCGAGCCCACAAATATCTAAGCCCATTGCCCAGTGGTTTCAGCTGAGGACCAGGCCCACTGACCAGCAGCTCACTGGAGAGGAGGTGACAGGAAACCCAGGAGACCTTGAGTGAGCACTGGGATGAGCACTCATGGGAGATGGCTACAGGGGAGCCTTCTTGTTTGGGTCAAGGGAAGGAAATACTTGGATGAGTTCTTCTGTGTTATCAGGTTGTAGGTCCCCAGCCTACTTCCCCATGAGACCCCCACAGCTGAGCTCTATGCCGTGATTGGGCCCGTTGCAGCCCACAGGTCAAATGCAGTCTGGATCCTGGCTTTGTCCATCCACATGAGCCATCCATGGCAGCAGCTAGCAGCATCGAGTGGTGGTGAGCCAGGTTGGCCTGGGAAGTGAAAATGTCTTTACAGCTGTACAGTTCTTTACAGAAAAGGTTTGCTGCTCTCTGCTCTAAACCCTGACACCTGTTGTTTTTAACACCTAATCCTTGAGGTGAGGGTGTGTTTAAGTCACTTGTTGTTGGAACAAAATACCTGATACCTACACTTGAGGAGAGATTTATTTTGACTCATGTTTCAGACTGCAGTCGACAGACTGCTGAGAATAAACTGCATGGCAGAGGAGCAGCTGCTTACATGGAGGCAGACAGGAGGCTGAGTGAATGGAGGGAGGAGGCAGGAGGGCAAGGACACCCTTTTGGTCATGTCCCCAGTCACATCTCCTTTTCCAAGCAAACTTCAGGTTCTAACAAGTCGGCTGTATACCCCATAATCCAGTTAGCTTCCAAAAACCCCACCTATGAGTGAGTGCATGGGACTCTGGGGACATCTAGATATAAGCCATAAAAGGATGACATTGTGATATTTTGGGGGGAAGGTTAGAAAGGGAAAAGAGGGTCCCCTGTCATTTCTTCTCTCCTTGGGTGGTCATCTAGCCTTCTGCCAGCCTCCTCTCTTTGTGGTTCAGGTGTTGGATGCATGGGTTCATTGTGTAATGTGTGAGTTCCCCAGGGCCCTGGTGCCTTTGTCATTTTCGTGCTAGCACCTTCTGATTGCTGAAAAAAATCATGTGAATTGAATAACTTAAATGCCCAGGCAACATTTATTCCAGGGCCGGCCAAATAGCTCAGCAGACTAAAACAACTGCAAGCAGGCACGAGGGCCAGGGATACCATCCCCGGGCCTGCTGTGCTGGCCCCGCCCCCGAGGGGGCGCTGAGACAGCAATTGGGAATGGGTGCTGTGGCGCACACCTGTAATCCCAGCTCTTGGGAGGCTGTAAACAGGCGGATCATTGGGAGTCTGATCTAATAGTGAGACCCTTCCCTAAAATAAAATAAAAAAAAAATTATTCCAGAGTTCTGCAAACCAGAATTTGAAGATCAGTGTGTTGGCAGGACTGCACCCCCTTGGGAGATCTCGGGGAAGATCTATGCCTGCTCCCCGCATGGCTGGTAGCTGCTGGTGTTCCCCAATCTCCAGTCTGCGCCTCTGTCTTCCTGTGGCTGTCTCCTCTCTCTCTTTACCTCTCCGTCACCTGTTTTTTCCTCCTGGCACTAGGAACTGAACCTTCAAGCTGAGCTATATCCCTAGCCCTTTTTATTTTATTTATTTTTTAAATTTTGATGGGCCAGCCAGATAGCTCAGCGGACTGGAGCGCCTGCTTAGGCAAGTGCTAGGAGACTGGAATTCAATCCTGATGCTGTGCTGGTCTCACCCTAGGGGTGCACTGAGACAGCGAGTGAGACTGGGTGTAGTGGCGTGCACCTGTAATCCCAGCACTTGGGA